GGGGCTCAGTGCAACCTTACGGAGGCGGGTGCATCCTCATGGGGGTCGGCGCAGCCCTATAGGGGCCGGTGTAAACCTATGGGAGTAGCTGCAACCTTATGGGCATAGGTGCAACCTTATGGGAGTAGCTGCAACCTTATGGGAGTAGCTGCAACCTTATGGGAGTAGCTGCAACCTTATGGGCATAGGGGCAACCTTATGGGAGTAGCTGCAAACTTATGGGCATAGGTGCAACCTTATGGGAGTAGCTGCAACCTTACGGGAGTAGCTGCAACCTTATGGGCGTGGGTGCAACCTTATTGCAACCCTATAAGGGAAGGTGCAAGCCTATAGAGGGGGGTGTAGTCTTATGGGGTAGATGTAGGTAATGTACAACCTTACAGGGGTAGATGTAATCTTCTGGGGACAACTGCAACCCCATGGGGGCAACTGCAGCCCTACTGGGGTAAGTGCAATTTTACAGGGGTAGGTGCAACCTCTGGGGTGAGCTGCAACCCTGTGGGGCCAGGGGCCCTACCTGTGTTGATTTCCAGCCGAGGGGTAGGTGGGGTGGGAGGCAAAGCTGGCTCTGTGTGTTCCAGCAGCTCTCCTGGGTCGGGGGCTGCCCCAGGGAACAGAGCACGCACACATGGCGAGTGGCTTAGTCTGCAAAGAAGCCTGACCGGGCGGCTCAGCAGGGAGTCTCTCGCTGTGAGGGTCCCACACAGCTTGGCCTTGCCGGGGGGAGCAGGAGGGCCAAAGGAGGGCCGGGGGGCTGGAGGGCATGTGCTGGAGCTGACACGTGCCCGCACTGGCAAGAGGATGCCCAGTGGTGCCGTGTGTATGTGCGATTTCAGCTGCAAGTCTCCCGTAGTGTCTTCACAAAAGGGAGAACGCAGTCTGATTTTGGCTGCGGGATTTAGGGGGAGAGCGGATGACATTCAATAGGTTTGCAGCACACGCACACACACAAAAGATATATTTATTGGGAGGCAAGTGTGTCCAGCCTTGGGAAAAGCACGACAAATCTTAGGAGTTATGGAAAGGGCACTGGTGCCTATTTCCTAAATATCCCCCCAGCCCAAAATGGTGCTCTCTTTCTGTCTCACGTGCAAAAACCATGCTTCTTTCTTTCTGTGACACTCCCGACAGGAGCCGGTGACCTGACCGGGGATGCTATGGGCTATGTGACAGGCGTGCTGGCCGTGCTGATACACGCTGCCTACCTGGTGCTCATTCAGAAGACCAGTGTAGATAGTGAATATGGACCCCTGACAGCTCAGTATGCCATCGCTGTTTCGGCCACCCCTTTTCTCATCATCTGCTCCTTTGCCAGCATGGATTCCATCAACGTCTGGTCATTCCCGGGGTGGAAGGACCCTGCCATGGTATGCATCTTTATCGCTTGCGTCCTGATTAGCTGTGCCATGAACTTTACCACCCTTCACTGCACTTATATTAACTCGGCTGTGACCACCAGCTTCGTAGGGGTGGTGAAGAGCATAGCAACCATCACGGTGGGCATGGTGGCATTCAATGATGTAGAGCCCACAAAGTTATTTATAGCCGGTGTTGTGGTCAACACCTTGGGGTCTGTCATCTACTGCGTGGCCAAGTATGTTGAGACCAGGCGGCAGAGCAATTACGAGGACCTGGAGAAAGAAGCTAGAGAAGAGGAGGGGAAAAGGCAGGCTGGGGATCAAGCACTGTTTGCGATGGAGGCGATTTCCCAGGAGAAGGGGGCTGAGGAAGCAGCAGTGGAAGGGTCAGCCACGGGGGACAGCCAGAGCGGAGAGGAAGAGAAGAACGTCACTGAGAAACCTGCCAAGGGACTGGCGGTCCAGGGAAAAGCCACCGGCACACAAGAAGTGAGCAGGAGCTCGTTGAAGGATGCCTATCTTGGAGTATGGAGGTTGGTGAGGGGCGCTAATTATATAAAGAAGGATTATTTGATAGAAAATGAAGAGCTACCAAACCCTTAAAAGGCAGGTTTGAAAACCTATCGCTTGAGGACAGACACCTGGTTCTCTGTACAGGGGGAAAGGCAGAGCATACATTTCCACATCAGTGCTGACAAATCCAAATCATGTAGGATGACTTTACCTCATTGTCAAAAAGCAAAAGGTCAGAGTTTGCTCATGCTTTGGGCTTGCTTTCAGCTGCTTTCAGTACATCAGTTTAGACCCACCACAGCTAAAGGTGCCGAGTCCTCTGCTGTAGATACAGAGAGAGTTGGGTAACGGCAAGTCACGGGGCGCTTGCCCAGCAGCCTGGGCCATGGGGGACACCAGTACCATTAAGTTATTCGGCAGTGCCAGTGACACGGCGGTGGCCTGTAGTTTAGCTTGTGTCAGGAGCCTTGTGATTCTATCTAACACCATTCGGAGGCTCTGTCGATGTGCTTCCGTATCTGTATCCATCCAATTATAGGTACTCAATATAAATACATTCCTGCAATATGTAAGCTCCTATTAACTGTACTTTTATGTGCTCCTCTGTGTCAATACAACTGCAACAGAGCTAGACGTTGTGCCACTTCAATTATATTGGTGTAAAATCACCCTCTTAACTGAAGAGTTGAAACTCTCCCTGATTCTGTGGCCAGGCTGGGCCTTGGACCTCGTTTACATCGGGTGGTTTGTGTCTTCAGTAGAAATAATTTTGTCTTGCAGTGGTGTACGTGAGAGTAGAACCAGATCTGAACTTTTGAGAAGCTGTGGTCAGCAAAAGAAGGATGTTTTTCTATGAGCTTTAACTACATGTAGCATTGGGAATACTAGTTTGACGCAAATAAAAGGGACTGGAAATGTTGGACTGTATTAATTTGATGTGGGAGGGCTATTAAAAAAATAGGGAGACAGTGCATGCCTTGTGCTGTCTCCTCCTTGTACCCTAAAGTCGGGTGAATCGGAGCCTGGCCTGGAGCCTAGGTGTCCTCTCCATCTCCCTCTCTCAGAAGTACAGGCTGACAGGAGAACTGGGGACACCACCTCTGCCGGGGTTCCCAGGAGTGCTTCTGCAGGACAGTTTTGCTGTATCCTGGCTGCGTGCTGGGACACGGCTTTGTGCCTGTCAGCCCTCGCTGTCCTCACGCTGTGGTGTCCAGTGGAAGAAAGCATGTGCCGGCAGGCAGGCAGGGAGCTGCAGCGTGCTCCGGCGGATTGCACGGCGGAGCGCTCGCGGGCCAGGACGCTCGGTGCGCTCGGCACCGAGACATCCGTGGCTTTGGTGGGAGCTGCTCCCCTGTGCCCAGACTGTCCCGGCGGGCTGCGAGGGGCAGCGCTGTCTCTCCAGCCTGGCTGTTCCTGCGCTCCCGTGGGAAGCAGGCGCTCCAGCGGGGCCTTGACTGAACATGCTAATATTTTGTACCACATGCATTTGACGGGAAAGACTGGGGAAACAAGCGTTTGAGTATTTCTTAGCCTAGGGATACCCTTTTGGGAGGCGGGAGTCCTTGGGTCAAACCTTTGCTCAGAACCAGGCAGAGAAGAGATTTGACTCTGAGTCTTCCTCATCCCAAAAGCGTGCCCCAGCCATTGGGCCATCTTGACCACAGGCTGAAACAAGTTGTTATCATCTCCTGAAAAAATGAACCAAGTTTGTTGTTGTTATTGTTGTTGTTATTATTATTATTTATTAAGCCACTGAACTGAAAATCTGTTATTCCCACAGCCCTAATTAATCAGTGCCTAGCCTAATGCCTTCTCAAGCCAGGGAGGCAGCATTAGCCTCGCAGCGCATTCAGCACTGAAATCCGAAATGAGGAATTTACCCATCAGGGAATATTTGCAAAAATGATCTCTGGGGGAGCTTTAGATTCTCGTCAATAAATGCAGGCAGAAACATCGGGTGCAACAGTATGTTTTTTGAGTGAGTGGAGAAGTTGGGTGACCTGGCATCACCCATGAATTTTGAAAGAGACGGCTATAAAAGACATTCAGGCTCAAAGCCGGTAGCTGCTGAGCTGAGGGACGGGGCATGGAGACCTGTACATCACTCGTTATGTATAGCTTGTGTTTAATAGCAGAGAGATCCTGGCTGCATGCCAAAATATGTTTACTTTCTGTTCAAGCTCTATATGGCATCTTTTTCAATAAAAGCACTATTTATTGTTTATAAGCTAACGTACTAGGGGTTTTGTTAGTTTTTCAAATGCATCCTAGGCTAAGGAAGTTCGTGCCTATGACTTATAGTTGCTGTATTACTGAACTCATGATACTGAGCTGCATTGTAATCATACAGATGGCTGAAGAGAAACCCACATTTCTGATCGGTCCTCACCGTGCTCAGTGGTTGCTGTCCACAAGAAATGTGGATCTTTTTACCACCTGGATGCCGGTCTTAGATCCCGTAGCATACGCTCCATGTTTGGCATGTGCTGTAGAAAGCTCTCCCCCTGGACTCGTTGCAGGACTTTTTCCTGGGGGAGTTCAATGTTTTGCCGCTTACTGTTGTTGAAGTATTAGTAGAAACTTGCGGAAATTCAAACAGTTTTGACTGTTAAAAAAGCTGCTGTTATGATGTTGTACATTTGCATGTATAGTCGAAATGTGATTATATTGTATTCTGTTTATACCTGTAAATTCCCTAAATTAAAACGGGAATTTGGCAAATGCAGTCCACTTTTTCAGTAACAGAGACTGTCGCACAATAAAATAAAAGTACTGCCTCGTGCTGAGGTATTTTAATAGCATCAGCGGAAGACTGCAGAACGAGATGTGGGAATAAAATGCACTGCTTTCCAAAAGCCTTCTGGTTTTCTTATTGTTGCTACTCCGGGGTGCTCATTTTTGGTTCATTTGCAGTTATTCTTGTGCATTTCTATTGTCCAAGTTTCCTCAACATGTGACCGCACACTATAAATACTGTCATGGACAGAGGGACTGAGGACAGACAAAGGAACACAGGAATCTGAAGTGGCTCAGTCCTCTGTACAGCTTGAAGTTTCTGTGGTTCTCAGCAGTGATTTCTTTGGTTACATATTTAAGATGATTTAGTGTCACTAGTGTAACTGCTGTAACTTTAGAATAAATAAGATGATGCTCGTTATTAATAGTTATAAAATCATTGCATTATTAAAGGACTTAATATTGATTTTGTTTTACAATGTTAAGTACTTGTATTACCAGCTATGTCAGATGGCAACCCTAGGAGATGACTTAAGTGTTAATTTTTAGCTGTTTGCTTTGGAGGAAAGGTATGTAATGTGCCTGTGGCTGAAACTGGGTTGTGCCAGACACTGGGGCTGGTGATTATTGCAGAATTCATCTCAGAGCTCCACACAAATGTGCCTGCGGGACGGTTTAGAGAAAGAAACTGTCCTTGTTCCAGGAAAATGAATGAACCTGATGCACAATGACTGCTTTGAGAGTAAACATTAATTTCAGTGTCAACACATCATCGAGTAACCCTGCTCTTGCACTACTATATACACACGCACATGCACACGCACGCACACAAATGCACATGCAACAGGAAAACGAAAGCCGGACTGGCTATGGTTTCTAAAATATATTCTTTTCTCAAATAAATTTAAGAGCGGCCAGATTATTTGGAGGCAGGAAGAGTTGAAATTTCTAAGGATAAGTAAAAAAATTTGCGTACATCACTGACACACTCGTCCTGCATTTACCATCACTTCCAGAGGGAAAATGAACAGCAACCTACAAAAAATCCAGGTGAGAGTGAATGAAATTTTACAGTTTATTAAGAAACACTCCACATCCCTGTGTGTGTCCAGGGATAGTTTATTGCCAATGTTTAACAGGCTCCTGTAATTTGATTACATCTGCTTGCCGCAGGCAAAGGCTTCGGTAGGCAGAAAGGTGCAAGCCCTTCAGCTCTGGGCTCTAAATTAACAGCTGAATATTTTGCTGCTTGTTGTGGTTAAGGTTTAACACCACAGAATCCCATCTCCTTGTCCTCTCTGCCTGTGTCCTGTATAATTTCACATACCGCTTTGAGGTTTCTTCTGTGTTTTTTCAACCTGAAGCCTCTAAGTGCAGTGCAGGCAATCAACTCTGCCTCTCAATTAGCTGTTCTATTCATGCTTCAGTAGCTTGTTGGAGGTCATCAGGAGGCTTTTCACTTCAACCTCATGCCTGTCGGGAATTGATGAGCGTGCACATGCCCTCCTTTCTCTTCCCTTGTTCCCGCTGTATTTCCCAAATCTTGTTTCCAGTGTCCAGCCTGCAAACCTCTGCCAGTGGCGGAGGACTTGCCACAGAGGCTTCTGCCACGTTATTATTTTTTTCTTTTTTTCTAGAAAGGGAGGGAGGGGATGGACCAGCGGGATCTTGCACGTCCAGATTGCTTCTTGCTACCTTTGTGCGTGTTTCTGCACACCAGCTCCCTGCTTACCAGCTCCCAATATAGCTCAGCCGTGGCTGCGTACCAGCTTCTTGTGGAGCTGGGCCAGGGCTGCGTACCAGTATCCTGTGGAGCTGGGCTCTGCGCAGGATAGTCGCAGGAGTGAGGGCCCTCGCTCTGCCAGCCAGCCAGTACCGAAATCTGGTTGTGCACACCGGTGTGGATATTTATTATATACGTAAAACCAGAAGGAGATTTTTTTCACAGTAAGAGCATTCAGAGTAATAAAGCTATAAACCTGAAAAGGGGTTGCCATCATTATCACTGTTGAGCTAGGCTCATTTCTATGATGGGTGGAGACTAAGAAAGCCAGTCACACTTTAATGCTAGACATTGTGTTTGAATAGGAGAGAAACACTGCCTGAGAATAAAGCCCTGGCAGAGAGCATGACAACACTGCTCAAAGAGGTACGTGCGATTTGGATTAGGATGGATGGGGCAAATATGAAAGTTACAAATTAGGACGGATGGGGAAAATGTTAGAGTTTGCAGAAAAGCAAAATGTTTCAGTTTGTATCCCTCTCCTCCACCCACATCTCTGGGGAGCTGGAAGCCAGCCTCTCCACCAAATTTCAGTTTGTCGCTGTTCTTACACAGAAAGCAATAGTGACAG